AATGTATCACATTTGCATTTCAAATTGTACTAAATATGCTAGGTCAGAGTGGGGCTACACCTAGTCACACTATTCGGAGGCAAGCCAATCATATCTCTGCATTCTACATCGCATGACAGGCCTACTCACATCACACACAAACTATCCTCCCCCTCTTGAAAAATAAGTAGACTCGATCGAATGATTTTTATTGAGCATTTTTACTAAAAAAAAAAAAAAAAGAAGAAGAAGAAGACGGGTCTTTTTTTTATAACGGGCCTTTTCTAAGCCCAGGTCTGTGGCCAAAGCCTTGATATCCCCCGCCTTAATCGCCCCTGCACCTACTCAGACAAGACCTAACACGTGTATATTTCAACCACATGACTAGTGAGGATTATCGCAGCTTCACGACTGTTCCTCAAACTTTCCTCTAGATTCACATAAGTAAATTTACTATGGTTAAAGCATTAAGTTAGCTATTAGCCGTGATACGTATTTACAAGTAACAAACTTCTCATTCAGTATGTGAGTAGGCCAATTGTTTAAACTCAAGTTGTTGTCAAATAATACAACATTGACAAGAAATTACAGTCACTATAAGCCTCTTGAATGTAACAAATGACATTGTAAAAGCATGACAAAACACCAACAATGCTTACAAGTCAAATTCTTCACTAAGGCCTTGTAGTGTAAAAACCATGTTTTCCATCATCAGCTGGAACATTCCAGCTTCACAATGACCCCATAGGCATTATCCAAATAGAGAATTGCCTAAAAGGTGACCCAGGAGACAGTCACGAATGGACAGGTGTTATACAGTCACCACTGAGGTAATTTATACAACCAGATCTCAGGTTTTCCCGTGTCGAATAAACACCTGATGCCACTAACATAAATGGTTAACAGCCAAGACAGAAAATGTAGATATTACGCAGGGGTTGAAGCAGAAAAAGCCTATCACCTCTTAATTAAACACAATCGTGTACATTCACCTGTTATCATAGCCACAGATAGTGAGAGCTGGTTGAGTATTTATCGTTGAGCAACAACATTCTGCATAAGGCTGTTGGTGCATTAAAGCTTCTCACAAACAGCACAAGGATGGAGCTGGAAGCCATAATATAAGCACTTCTTTGTATTGCTGAAAGCAATGAAACACAAATAGACAGTGTCACAAACATTAACTGAGACTCAAGCTGTACTGCGTAAAATTCAGAGTTGTTGCTCCCCAGATGGATAGCAGAAAGCAAAAAAACTGCACGGTAAACATTAAACTGGGTGTATGTATAAGGCATTATAGGCGTAAAGCTTCACGAAGAAGCTGACGAGATTGCACAAGCAGCCTCTTTGTCAAGTTCAGCACAAATTTAATGGAAGGATATCGACCACTCCTTCGCTAGTAAGGTAAAAGTGGTAACTATGGGTGGAGTTCATCGGCATTCAGAGACTGTTGGAAAACAAGGTACAGTATGGTGTAGTTAGGGAAAATAAATGAAGGGGAATGAGTAAGATAGTACAAGCCAGAAGGCCAACGATGACATGGCTACGTATCCATATGAGGAGTCAGCGCTTGGCGAAGCAACCTCTGGGATTGTCACCTAGAACTGAACTGGAGTCGATGCAGAGAGGTTATAATTAGACATAGTAAGAACAAAACATGAATATAAAACAGACTCTTACTCTAAACACGCGGCACAAACGAGTTTTCCTCTCTCTCTATCTTAGGTATTCTCAAACTATGGGTTGCTACCCCACGGGGTTTCAGGTAGCTCCAAAGCAGGTCAAGAAGGACTTGGACAGATGCAACAACTCCCTTTAAGGTAGAAATATTTCAAGGGGATTTGTTTTTTCTTGTTTTTGGTAAATACAATATGTTTTTTTCATCTTCTCAACCATTTCGCTGTCTGGTTATGCTACAGGGAAAACATTTATGTTTTTTCGTGTTTTTGTTAAATACAATATGTTTTTTTCATCTTCTCAACCATTTCGCTGTCTGGTTATGCTACAGGGAAAACATTTATGTTTTTTCTTGTTTATGTTTTTGGTAAATACAATATGTTTTTTCTATCTTCTCAACCATTTCGCTGTCTGGCTATGCTACAGGGAAAACATTTATGTTTTTTCTTCCTCTTCTTTTGTTAGTTCGTCTCAGATTTTCGCGCAAAGTTATACAAAGACTGTATGCACACAGCCGTTCCTAATTTTATATAGATAGATTAGAGGGAAGGTGGCTAGTCAACAACACCCATAGTCAATTCTTGCGCTACTTTTGTCTGACCAAATAGTGGGATGTGACAGTCGCTCTTATAGCACACCCACGGCCCCAAACTACGAAGCACAGTTTTGCAGCAATAGGACGCGAACCTTAAATCCTCGGATTCATAGTGTGGACACATCACCACACCCGGCCATTATTTTTAGTATTCTACATGTTTTGGGATTGAATGTTTTAAAATTATGGAATAATTTAGAAATAAACGTCATGTATAGAACTGTTGTTTTCTGTTGTTCTTTTCTTTTTTCTTTTCAAAAAATAAACTGTAGTTATTCCCTGTTGGTTTGTAATTTCCTGATAAATGGGGGGAGTTTTTAATATTTACCATCGCAAAACGGGCTCAGGCTGAAAATGTTTCAGTACAATCTGAATCTAATTCATTCCACAGAGATTATATTTACCGTTGATTCTATAGGAATACTGTTTATATCTATGATTTATTTTTGGATTGCTTGTACTTACAATTAGAAAAAAAAGTTTTCTATAACTTAATCTAAATAAATGACAAAAGTACGTCTAAATACTATTACATTTAACGTGTTACCGATGCCTTAAATTTCGTGCGGCTTAGGTTTATCACAACTGGAAATAACTTACGGAACATTTGAAATGAATTCTGTTGTTGAGTTGTTTAAAGATCATGTAAAATGTGCTTCACTCAGTTCTTTCCAGACTTTTGACCACCAAAGTTACTATTTTTTTCACGAAAATGTACAGAGAACACGTTTATATCCTAGTTCAGAATGCAAGAAAAAACAACCTCAGATACGCGATAAGGACAAGACAGTGTATTGCAGTAAAGGAACAAACGTTTGAGAGGAGCGAGAGCGTTACATTCAAGCAAGTTCCAGAGCCGGGGATAGCTTAACTGACGCCTTAGCTGGTACACTTCCTGACATTGGATCACCCAGGTATTAGGTGTCCCATTCAATGCTTATGTTTGCTACCCTTAATGCCGAGCCTGATGAGGATAACACAATGTATTCCAGTGAAAAAGCAACTGTTAAAGTGAAGAAGAAACCCATACATACGTGATAAGAATAACATAGTATACCACGGTAAACGAATAAATGTTAGGAATATAATGAAACTCTCACGCACGTGATAAAGACATATAATGCAGCAAAAGAAGAAATGTTAAGAATGAAGACAGCATTGAGAATATTATATACATATTATATACATATTCCTGAAACAACATGGCGAAAATCAGATTTTCCTGCTTATATAGCTACATGTTGAGGTTGCACGTTTCATTCATCCTAATAACTCATAAGAAGGCATTATACTTCTCAGTAAGCTTAACACATGGCGAATGTCATGAGAATGTATGAACAGAACGGAACACAAATGTAAATGTATTTCAAATCTTAGAATTCTTATTGATGGCTGATACAGCGCTTAAGGTCTTTCGATTTCAATGTGGTTTCAAGCCAGACGTGATCCAAGTGTGGACATTGCCACCAAGTTAATGTTGTGTTTAAAAGCTGCTTTTATCCAGCAGTAATGTATACATTACCACCAAGTTAATGTTGTGTTTAAAAGCTGCTTTTACTCAGCAGTAATGTAGGCACTGCCACCAAGTTAATGTTGTGTTTAAAAGCTGCTTTTACTCAGCAGTAATGTAGACACTGCCACCAAGTTAATGTTGTGTTTAAAAGCTGGTTTTAATCAGCAGTAAGCATATAAAGAGAAACCAGATATCAGAAATACTAAATACTTATGAGCCTAAGATGTTCGTGGTGTGACATATTATTATACGCATCTTTGGAATTCTCAGAACAATGATAAATACATTTTTATACTTCAATTCGAGAAATTTAATTTACACAAATTTTGGGCGCGTCATATTTTTTTAAAACCCATAACCTATCAAAAAGCTGGTGAATTATTTAGTCAGTCATGATGTCCTCCTCAATTCTGAGGGTCGGAGACTATAATTCTTTATTTTTCTCTATTCCTTCCTGACTGCACCAACGTTTCTAAATTAAGCTTCTCTTCTCCAATCCATTTTGAAAGTCAATGAGCAAGTGAGTCTCTGCCTGCCTCTCGCTCTGAATTCCCCACCAGAATTTCTATCTACCTTCCTCAGATCTTATTATACGCCTAAAGTAGAGCAAAGGTAGACACATTTTCATATAAAGGTATCGTCTATAGATTACATAAAAAGTTAAAGAAATTTATATTAAAACTTATGTTAGTGAATTATGTAATTCAAAGACCTTATCTAAGAGTGACAGTACACGATACCACAGAATTTAAAAACTCGTATTAAAACTGCCTGTTGGTCGTGCTATTTTATTCTACAAACATAATGTCTATGACTGACTGGTCTTCTACAGTTGTATAACAAGTCAACTTTGTAAAGCTACGGAAATATTTTTGTTTTTAACGGTCTATTCAACAATGTAGTTTAACTTATATTCATCAATTGACACATTGAAGTTTGGTATTTTCAAAATTAGTGGAATCTTTTGAATACAATAATACTTTTTGTGTAACAAATTACAGTATTTCTACGAAAAATATTTGTTATTTCTATGTCCCAGCTTTGTATATTTTATCACTGTTTCAGAACTTGTGCTCAAACTAAGTAGTAGTATTGGGGTTAAAACGAGAAAACCGTAGACAAACTCTGTAAGATAAAAGAAACGTTTCTTCCTCGATTTTACACATTTAGACACTGGTACAAATATTAAATTACTAATTATCTCACTAAAACAAATGTTGAGATTGTTTAACTTACCTTGCTACCTGGCATCGTTACCTCACGTCGCACGATTCAAATATATGTATGTAGGCCACTAGCATTGGGAGAAACGGCAAACATCGTCAAATCGTCGGCATGCAGATCGACGTTTACCCAACTCACTGTAACGCCGAGTTGGAGATAAAAAACCATCAGCTGACTGCGCAAAACTAAATCCTATACTCGAGCTTATGGCGCCGTAGCACGAGTTGAAAATACGAGCGTTTTCACTTACTTCCGTACACCATGAAAATGGATGATGTAAACGCCAGAATAGTAAATTTAAACAAGGATAATTCATAAACATTACAGAAGGAGTTTAATATATTGAATATTTCATGTGTTTGTGATAGCATAAAGTTTCATTTCAATACATTACTCTTGCATTCACCATACGCGCGCATCATTTACTTGTTACATGCTGTAAGGTTCTAAAGCAGCCACACAAAAGAGTCGTTTTTACAACCACGGTCGGAAGAGGGCGCAACTTAACAAAATACAATAAAATGAGCAAGATCCTACCTTTATTTTGATTTATGATAAAGTCAACGTTAATATTATATGTAAATATATAGACTCGTTTTTCAGACATAACTTTTGAACGCAATAGTTCAAGCAAACAATAATATAAAGTTAGACAAATCTTTGATAAAATTAGAAATGTTAAGTTCAAAAATAGTTTCCATATTAGACTTACGGGAAAAATGATTCAAGTCTGAATACCCCACGCAACAACGCTGAAGAGTTAAGCAACCACCTTTAGTCATCCTTCAGCCTTGTTACACTAAAGAACACATAATAAGAAAAGTTTACTGGTACACACAAGGTAGCTCAGCAGTAAGCTTGAAGGCTTGTAATGTTAAACACCGGGGTTCGATTCTCCGTGGTGAAGAGAGCTCAGGTAGCTCCATTGTGTAGCTTTGTGCTTAAAAACAAAACAACACAAACAAATAATTGTAAAAAATCTGTAAATCAAAATTATTTATGTTTTCAGATCACTCAATAAACCATGGAATTTCCTCTGAAAAATATTTAACTGAGACATTCGTGATCCTAGAAATTTTTCTATGGGTAACAAAATTGTTTGTTTGTTTGTTTTGAATTTGGCGCAAAGATACACGAGGGCTATCTGCGCTAGCCGTCCCTAATTTAGCAGTGTAAGGGAAAGCAGCTAGTCATCACCACCCACGGCCAACTCTTTTATCAACGAGTAGTGGGATTATAACGCCCCCACGGTTGAAAGGGTGAGCATGTTTGCGAACATGCCGGAACAGGGTAACAAAATAGCAATTTAAAGGCAAAAATATTCCATAAACCAAATTATTTTGAAGAAGTTTCCTTACGAATGTGTTGAGACTTTCTTTTTCAGCAATAACTGGTCACTAATTTGACCTCAAATTAGCCCCAGTAAGAAGAAATAAGTAATGAAAGAATTTAAAGTGAGAAAAATAATATAAACATCTTTAATGACTTAACTCACAAATAAACACTAATAAATTTAAACAAAAGAAATATGGTACCAAGTCAGTCAAGTAATTAAACTTATGCACAAATGACTTGCTAAATCAAAAGAATGTCTGAAAAAAAGCCCTCCGGAAATATGCATTCTGATAGTTACACAGTACTTATCTCATTTGAATTCTGCAATGTCAACATTTTCTTGGTCAGTATTTTTTTATTAACGTAAAAGGTTTCATCTATGTGAATTTCATAATTAAACTTTAATATACTCACTGCACTAGATAATCGTAAGTTAAATAACGTTCCCCGGTGGGTCAGCGGTAAGTTTACTGACTCACAATACTAAAATCTGGGGTTCGATTACCTGCGGTAGAAGTGCAGATAACAGACTAAGCAAACAATAACAAGTTAAATAACAATATTATAATAATAAAGACTAGACTTATATATATGTGTGTGTGTGTAAGACGGTCTATATTACATATAATGTTAAATTTATCTATGCATGAAACTCCATAAAATGAGGAAAAAGAAATATCTACCCGATAGTCAAGCTATTTTATGCAGTAGCATTTCAAACAAAAAGCCACCCTCCAATGTGATACTAAAAGAGAAAGCGTTTGATGTAATCCTCACCATTGTTACTTTTGCTCTAAAATCCACTTTTACACCGGTTGGACATCATTATCTTTTTTTGGTGTATAAAAATTAATTTTGATTTTTTTGTACGAAACAAGATTGTGAAATATGTTACGAATGACGTATATTCTGGACGATAGTGCATCTCACTCCAACACTGACACACACCGTGGTGTAAAAGATAAATGGATGAAACGCCACCTGACGGCATCAAAAGTGTTTAATAAGCGAAGCATAGAAATATTTGCGTCATTCGCACCTGAAGATTAGCAAGATTTGTTTTGAAAAACTCATCAATCCATATTAAAACGTCATGACAAAGGTTAGCCCTCGTTTTATTCCCATCTCTGCAGAATTATTGCACGAAATTAATTAGACAAGTCACTGTAGGCTCTGAAAACCGTGAAAGAGAAAAGTTAAGTAGTTATTACATACTTATCTGACATTTCTGAACTGTTAGGAGAAGCTTCCAATAAATCGTTATCCGAAAACTTGTTTCTGACCAAGGACAAGCTACAATAAAAGTAACATATACTTCTGGGAATAGAGACAGATAGATATAGCAAAACGCTATTCTCGGAAGTCTGATTCAAGATGTGAAATTTGATACCTTGATTTTTTTTTCAAACAGCTTTGTTTCTCATATCTTTACCGATCACAACCAAACGAAACTGGTCAATTCGAAGAACTGAGTTCTTACCAGATTCAAAGCAGTGCATCAGGTTTCTGTGGTAAAGAAATAACTTAAAAAAAAACACGTGTTTTTGGTCATGACTCACTCAATTCTTGGATTTTGTGATAGTTATATAATTAATCATTAAAATACATAGTAAAGAGTAAGTTTAAACCAGTTGCTATTAAGCAAAACAGGAGCATGAATGTGTTTGACATAATTCTTTTCATTTTGGCTAACGTTAGCCCTAAAACCCACATGGTCTTTTTTATATTAAATAATTTCGGAAAATTTTATTAAGAAATTGTGAAAGTTTAATTAGGCAACAAAAGACCTGTGTTTTAATATTGCATCAGCAAGCCACCAGAAGAACGTTGATTTTGTAACGTATAAATGCCTGTGTTATCACTCAATATCAGTTATGGTAAACGCATAGATCTGGCAGTACAAGTTATTGGAAAATAAACACCAAATTAGCGGTTATATATAAAACAAAACCGAAAAATGTAATTAATTAACTTCATTATGGTGAAGTGACGATTAATCTAGCGAGGCGTTTTGAAAATAAAGTTCTCTCATCTAGCAATCTAATTATTTTATACTAATCACTAATCTGTAAACTTAAAAGTTAAAGTACCAAACTATTTTTGAAACTCAATAAATCACTGACGGTGCATTAATACATTACACTAAATTTTAGTTTTAAAAGTTTAATGGATATTAATGCATTTAACCAAACCGTATTGTGCTCTAAAACAGATATATTTACATGAACAGTTTGCAGTTACGTTCTCCAGTACAATAGTATCATTCGGTGACAAGTAACAATTATTTTTGTTAAAAACTCCAGATCCCAAATACATAACGTGGAAATTGTTATTCATAAGTGCGCGAATAGTGAAATTCGTTTTGTTCCTCTTACCTCTGCACCGTGAAAATTGCTGTCACTAGCGACGCTACTCGGCCGCAAAGACAAACAGTCTTTAAAGATTTAATGTTACTATTTCAAATAAAAATGTCCATTTGAGGTTTTCACTGTACCTTTTTTTAAACTTTGACCTTCAAAGTGAGAATCAACGTTCTTTCTTATCTTGGACATAGTTATTAAAATATGTCTTATTTTTTATTCGCGGCTGATCAGATTATTTTCAACCTTCATATTTCCAATGATTTATTTCATTAAACAATGCTGACATTTAAGTATAAAATTATATCTGACAAAAAAGTTTCCTTTCTCCATTGAGCAAAATCATCGTATTATTATAAAATCTACATAATACTATTTTCAGATGAAAGTCTTTTGTAATGTTGATATTTCCTTTCTTGACAGACCTTTTATTTGGATTTTGTAGGATGTAGGCAGTTTTTTGTTTTCCTCAGAGAATACTTTTTATTTTGTATTAGTGACGCATAAAGTAAAAAACTGTCCCTTATCGATAAAAGAATGAAAATTTAAGTTTGCACATAATAGAAAACTGCTTTGGCACATTTTCTCAAGCTAAACAAACCCGATTCTTGACTTCAATTCATTTTATCTCACACATGATAATGAAAGGATTACTTATTTACTTATGGGTGTCTCCTTTTCTCTATCGGCAATTCTCTTGCGAACAGAAGTGGTTCAGTATTTGAATAACCATGCGTCTAATCATGAATGTCGTGTCAAGCTCAAGCATGTTCACCTGAGATTTGGAAAAGCTTTGAAGATCAATGTGATTCTAAGTAATAAAGAGTGTAGTAGTCTCTTCAAACAAGTTACCGGCATTGTTGTACGTTTGCAATAACTTTGACAGGTTTCAACTCAGGGTGACAATAAGCGAAGATAAGATAATTTTCTCAAGAGATTTATTTGTTGCTGTCCTTGTGAGTTAAGACTTATACGCAATATCTTACCGACTATCAATAACAATTCTACATTGGAAGTTTCATACTGTTAGATGAAGATAATATATATATATACTGAAATCGGTAATCGTTAGTCATGGAACCTTCAATAAATTAGCAAGCATGCGGGAAGGTCATTAAGAGTGTTTTTTAAATTTTCTATTGTGAGAATGTGCATTATAACAATAAATCTTTCTAATACCGGTAGTAAGTAACTTTATAGCATCATATACATTTTTTTAAAAATTAAACACTCAATGTTTCGCTTTACAGCTTCTTCGGAGTGTTCCACTAAAACACAAATTGTAACAGACATTACACAGTTTCACTTTAAAAACCAATTGAAGCTTTGTACTGTTAGTTACGGTTTATGCTTTAGTGGAACACTCCTGAAGAAGCTGTAAAAACGAAACATTGAGTGTCCAATTAAAAACAAAAAACAAATATGGGGTTATAAGGTCGTTTATTACTAATATTTCAAAATGTATTTTAAACGCCAATATGCACTACATAAATTAAACAATAAAGCTTTGTTTCGTATATTTGTGTTGGGGTGATTTATAAAATATGTTTTGTAAAAGTACTAATAATAAATGTAACTAAAAAATACTACAGTTAAAAACAACAACTTTATTTATTTATGATTTTACAAAATTATACAAAAAGAATTTTTAATTAAAAACTTGTTTATATTTTTAGAAATATTAATCAATATTCGATATTTTTCAGTAACAAATATCATGAAAATGCACTTGACAA